CTGCATGTAAAAGATAAAATCCAGAGATTGTGAATGGGGAGCAGGACTACTGAGAATGAAAAAGAAATGTGTGAAATGCTAAATGAACAGTTCCAAAGTGTGTTTGTACAAAATGAGGATTTCAGAGAGCTGGACCCAGTGCCAATTGCAGAGTACACCATAGAGTACATAAAGGTTTCCCAAGATGAAGTTGAAAAATTACCCAAGGGGCTAGGAAGAAATAAAGCAGTTGGACCTGATGAAGTTTCTTCACCTTGGGTGCTGCGAGAATGTGCAACTGAGCTGAGTATTCCACTCCAAATCATATTGCAGACATCCTGTGTACAGGAATCGTAGCAGATATATGGGAAAAGGGCAAACATAGTACCATTCTATAAAAATGGTAGCCAAGAAGACACTCTAAATTATAGATCCATGTCATTAACAATCGTGGTAGTCAAAACACTAGAAGCAATAGTTAGAACCAAATGGGTTGAACACCTAGAGAGTAATGACATAATAACAGACAAACAGTATGGTTTTCGAACAGGAAGATCCTGTGTAACAAATCTACTTAGTTTTTATGATAGAGCCACATAGATACTAGAGGAAAGAGGTGGTTGGATTGACTGTGTCTATCTGGAGCCTAAAAAAAGGGCTTTAGACAGAGTCCCACACAAGAGGTTGTTCTGGAAACTGGAACATGCTGTGGACTTCTGGAGACAGGGAGACTTCTGACATGGATGAAAACTATTCTAACAGACAGATGAGGGTGGTAATCAGAGACAATGTATCTGACTGGAGGAGTGTTACTAGTAGAGTACCAGAGGGTTCAGTTCTTGCACCAGTAATGTTTATCGTCTACATAAACGATCTACCAGAAGGTATACAGAATTATATGAACATGGTTGTGGATGAGACTAAGATACCGGGGAAGATAGGAGACACAGACTATTGTAATGCTCTTCGAATTGATCTAGATAAAATAGGTGCTTAGTGTCAATTGGCAAATGGAATTCAATATGAATAAATGCCATGTTATGGAATGTTGAATCAGAAAATAGACCACACACAACTTACAAATTATGTGGTCAGGAATTACAGAACTCTAATAAAGAACGAGACCTAGGGGTGGTTTTGGATAGTAAGCTGTCGCCAGAGGAACACATAAAGAACATTGTGAGAGGAATATATGCGGCGCTTTTCATCTTCTGACTTGCTTTTAATTATATGGATGGTAAAATACTGAAGAAACTGTTCATGACTTTTGTGAGACCAAAACTGGAATATGCAGCAGTTGTATGGTGCCCCAATCTCAAGAAGCACCTAAAGGAACTGGAAAAGGTGCAACGGCATGCTACAAAAGGGCTTCTGGAACTGAGAAACATGAGTTATGAGGAGAGACTAGATGTGTTAAGTATTCCAAAACTAGAAAATAGTAGAAAAAGGGGTGATATGATCATCACTTATAAAATACTAACATGAATCGACCATATTGACAAAGAGGAATTCCTGAAACCAGCAACTTCACGAACAAGAGGATACAGACACCTAGTCTTTTTAGAGGGGCACCTACTACTAGGTAAGAACAGATTTAAGCTGAGGAAACGAAGGTGCAAAAAAATATTGGAAAGTTTTCTTTTGCAAACAGAGTGGTAGACGGTTGGAACAGGCTGAGTGAGAAGGTGGTGGAGGCCAAAGCCGTCGGTAGTTTCAAAGTATTATACAACAAAGAGTACTGGGAAGACGAGACATCACGAGCATAGGTCTCATCCTGTAACTACATTTAAGTAATTACTTGCACACGAATGCAACACAAACACATGTATGCATACAGTCACATGTAGGAATGCCCAAACATGTTAGTGTGCGCAATGCACACATGCACATCTCTTCAATTGTACTGTTTTTATAGTGGAAATAATTTTTTGAAATGGGAAATGGAAGTTTTGAACCATTGTGGATACAAGAATTTGTAGTGCAGTTAGAATCTTGATGTGGAAAGAGGACTTTTGTAATGAAAGTAACATTTTTGTCAGGCAATGTTAATTTTAATGTGCAGTTATGGCTCTATTTTGGAAAGAAGCCAGCTCAAAATGCATGTGCATATATACTGTATATACAGTATACAGGTAGTAGATTTCTCATTAAAAAAAATAAAAATGATTTTATTGAAGTTGTTGATGTTTATATACTGTAGTTGCAACTGTGGATATTTTTCTTAGCATTTAGGGAACACTCTTGTTTCAAGTCTGACAGAGTTGCTTGTAAACGTGTTTAAACATTAGCTGAATTATAAAGAAATATAACAAAATAATCAGTAAACATAAATGGTTGCATTGTGGATAGAAAATTAGTTTGAAATATTAGTGAATAGAAACAACAATTTGATGATGGTCCAGGACTGACCAAAATGTCTGAGTTCCTACATTTTCAGATGTGTGGGTTGGGGGTCTGATGTGTATGTTGGGTGTCAGATGTGTGGGTTGGGGGTCAGATGTGTGTGTTGGGTGTCAGATGTGTGGGTTGGGGGTCTGATGTGTGTGTTGGGTGTCAGATGTGTGGGTTGGGGGTCTGATGTGTGTGTTGGGTGTCAGATGTGTGGGTTGGGGGCCTGATGTGTATGTTGGGTGTCAGATGTGTGGGTTGGGGGTCTGATGTGTGTGTTGGGTGTCAGATGTGTGGATGTTGGGGGTCTGATGTGTGTGTTGGGTGTCAGATGTGTGGGTTGGGGGTCAGATGTGTGTGTTGGGTGTCAGATGTGTGGGTTGGGGGTCTGATGTGTGTGTTGGGTGTCAGATGTGTGGGTTGGGGGTCAGATGTGTGTGTTGGGTGTCAGATGTGTGGGTTGGGGGTCTGATGTGTGTGTTGGGTGTCAGATGTGTGGGTTGGGGGTCAGATGTGTGTGTTGGGTGTCAGATGTGTGGGTTGGGGGTCAGATGTGTGTGTTGGGGGTCTGATGTGTGTGTTGGGTGTCAGATGTGTGGGTTGGGTGTCAGATGTGTGGGTTGGGGGTCAGATGTGTTGTTGGGTGTCAGATGTGTGGGTGGGGGTCAGATGTGTGTGGGGGTCAGATGTGGGTGTCAGATGTGTGGGTTGGGGGTCAGATGTGTGGGTTGGGTGTCAGATGTGTGGGTTGGGGGTCAGATGTGTGGGTTGGGGGTCAGATGTGTGTGTTGGGTGTCAGATGTGTGGGTTGGGGGTCAGATGTGTATGTTGGGGGTCAGATGTGTGGGTTGGGGGTCTGATGTGTGTGTTGGGTGTCAGATGTGTGGGTTGGGGGTCAGATGTGTGTGTTGGGTGTCAGATGTGTGGGTTGGGTGTCAGATGTGTGTGTTGGGTGTCAGATGTGTGGGTTGGGTGTGTGTGGTTGGGGGTCAGATGTGTGTGTTGGGTGTCAGATGTGTGGGTTGGGTGTCTGATGTGTGTGTTGGGGGTCAGATGTGTGGGTTGGGTGTCAGATGTGTGGGTTGGGGGTCTGATGTGTGTGTTGGGTGTCAGATGTGTGGGTTGGGGGTCAGATGTGTGTGTTGGGTGTCAGATGTGTGGGTTGGGGGTCAGATGTGTGGGTTGGGTGTCAGATGTGTGTGTTGGGGGTCTGATGTGTGTGTTGGGTGTCAGATGTGTGGGTTGGGGGTCTGATGTGTGTGTTGGGTGTCAGATGTGTGGGTTGGGGGTCTGATGTGTGTGTTGGGGGTCAGATGTGTGTGGGTTGGGGGTCAGATGTGTGTGTGTGGGGGTCTGATGTGTGTGTTGGGGGTCTGATGTGTGGGTTGGGGGTCAGATGTGTGGGTTGGGGGTTGGGTGTCAGATGTGTGGGTTGGGGGTCAGATGTGTGTGTTGGGGTCTGATCTACAGCCACATTATTGTGACTTCTTGTTTGCATAATTATCTATGTCTACTTTGATCTCTACATGTAGATTTGAAATATATATTTTTTAGTTTCCTTATGGTTTTGTCATTAATTTTTTTCAACTTGATATTTTTCAAGTAAGCTTTTGTTGGATATCTTGAGATTGCCTCATTATAATGTCTTAAGATTTAACTGTTTAAAGTTTTTGAGACAAACTGTATGGCTCCTGAGGAAGTTTAGCAATGCAGCTCCTTAGTCATTACTAAATTTGTTGTTGTTTCCAAGTGATATCTTGAGCAAGAATCATTGCATTGGGCTCCCTCTTGAGGAACTTGTCCCTTCCAAATGGCAAGACCAATCAAGCACTCACCTAGTTGTGCTTGCAGGGGTTGAGCTCTGACTCTTTGGTCCCGCCTCTCAACTGTTGATCAACTGGTGATTGTCAGACGTCAGACTCTGTTGTAGTTTCATACATTATTAGTCCTCTTGGACAGTGTCATTGCTTATTTACCCATAGCCATGTGACCACCGACCATGGACTCGTACTACTGCAGCAGCTACCTTGTGACTCAACTTCTTTGCTTTTCTTGAAATACTGAAGGCTTGGAAGTCAACAACTTGTTAAGCTTGTCGAATCCCACAGGTTTGTAACTTAAAGAAGATTGATGCATTGTTCCATCATTCTGCTCTTCCAGAAAACTACAGTAATATCATTGATCTTCAAAATTGCATTGCAAACTGTTCTTATAGTGCTGTAAACACTCCTTTTAAAATATAGCACCGATCTAATGCTTGTTTGCTTGCAATGCCAGGTACTCACTCTAAATGTGTGGGGAAAACATCTTTCATTACTCACACCTCAGTTCTTGAACCTATTATATTGTCAAAATAATAGGATAAGACTTACCCTGAACTATGGGAAGGGAAAGCTCTCAGCCTGCTAACAGGAGTCAGATTCATCTGCTTCTGTACCAACCTGTGTAAAGTAAATATATGGTATTTGATATGGTTAATGTGGTATTTGATATTATACACTTATCCTGAGAATCATCAGGTCCTGCAAGGTAGTGGATTACAGTAGTTTAAATTTTCTATAGTAAATACCAAATTAACAGCCGGTTATTTTTCAGTCCTGTACTGTATTACATTTTGTATTTATATATTTCAGAACCAAGATTCATTCCAGAAGCATCTCCAAAGGGCAGTGGCCTCGACTCCTTTACTGTAGGTTGGAGCCAGCCGAGTGAAAATAGCAAGGAATTTGTTGGACGTTACCATCTGTCTCTCAGTGATCCAACGACAGGAGATGTTCAAGAGTTGTTTGTGGCTTCTCCAGCTGTCGATCATTTATTCACTGATCTCAAGCCATCCACAGAGTACAAATTTAAGGTCTCTAATAAATGTATTTTGTATAATTTTGAAATTAAAAGTCTTAAGATGAAATTATTTTAACTAGTGTTTTAAGATAGGTGAACTCAAATTATTTAAGGAATAATGTTCATTTGATAGTTGCTTGAACTTAAATTTTTCTCTTTTAAAAATATATAATTATATTAGTACAGTAGTTTAATCCTGCTAATAAAATACTTTGTCACGTCTGGGCATCATCCACCCCTCTACACAATAATGAAAATGTGGTGTCATGTTATTAAATAAATATTCTATTTGTTAATTAGATGATCCTGGTTGAGAGAAGAATGCCAAGTATGGTTTATTTTGTCCTTCATTGATGTGTAATGATCATAGAGTGGTTCTTCCCATAGACTATAAATTGATAATACAGTACTTAGGTTCTTGCTGTATTGCCCACTGATTGGTATGTTTGAGAACTTTTTATTTGGTTGTGGGTCTTTGATTTCTGTGGGATGTGACCACAATGAATAATCAGAAAATATACCCATATGTTAATATTATTTTTTAATCCGCAGGTTGCCGCGTGTCTGAATGTTTTCCCCGACCGAGAACGAGATTGTGGGGAATATTCTCCTCCGGTAGTTGGAAGGACTCTGAATGGATTACCGGGAGTAATTTCTGATTTGTTGGTTGAGTGCAAGCAGAACCCACACATGGCCAATACTGTCCACATTCATTGGAAGCCTCCAACCAACCCAAATAGTTTAGTTGACCATTACAAAATTGAACTGAAAGAAACTGCATCGTTCATTAATGAGGAAGGACAGAGGCAGTACTACAATAATGAACATAAGCAAAATGTGGCTGCGTCTCTCAGAAACTACACCTTTTATAATGCCTTGCCCAACACAAATTATACGGTTAAGGTTCGTATGTTTCTTCCTTCGGTGTATTGGAGGTTCGTCCATTGTGTGGCATGTAAATAATAATGCACAGTAATGTGGCTTAAAATTAATAACCCAGCACATACATAAAATTCATAAAAGGAATGAAAGTGAGGATGTTTTGGTCAGTCCTGGGTCCAGGGTGGACCATCTTGTCGCTTCTCCTTTCTTCTCATATGTGGGGGGTTGAGTTATTTCTTGTGTAACATCTTTTTAGTTTCTTGTTATGCAATAAGTATTATTAGTTACTCATTTAATTGTGCTCATTTGTACTTGCAGGGTTTGAGTTATATATCTTGGCTCTTATCTCTCATCCTGTAATCAATTGATTGTTTCTCTGTCTTTTTAGATATTTTTGATGCACACTGGAATCACAGTAGCATGGTATGTCTATAAGGAAATCATTTGGAGCACTGAGGTGGGATTAAACTCGCATCTTGGGTGGATAATGCATGCATCTGTAGAGACGGGGGTTGTTATGTTGTTTCAAGTGAGACTATCTTTGGAGCAGGGCAGTGGAATTCAAGCAGCATCCTAAGTCACCTCAGATGCATGCCTTGCCTTGCTCCAGAGATTTTCTCCTAGATATTTCATGGTATTGTGATTTCCTTGTGTGTTTTTTAAGTGCTGTTTCTAGTGACGATTTCTAATATTCGCTCGAATAATTTATACGACTTGATATTAAATGAGGTGTTTCATCTGACCAATCTGCTTCAAGTGCTCCTCTGCAAATCCTTTTCTTGTTTCATTCCTCAACTACACTTTGTGTGATCAGCTCAAAGTTCCATTTTCTTATCCATCATCACTCAATCACATTATCTGCATAATTGTGATAGACCTTACTGTGTGTGTGTGTGTGTTCTCTGTGAATTAATAAGAAGCATTTATGTGCTTACTATGTAACCATACTGGCTTAGCATTTTATTTTCATAATTACGTGTTTATATGCTCAAAGATTTTGTTTTATAGGTTTATGCAGGCATAAAACGCCAGTACAGCTCTCCCATGAACGCAGTGTGCCGCATGCCTGTTTGGGTGCCAGTTTCTGAGCGAGTAACTTGGTGGAAATATGTGCACGAAGGTCAGATTGTACTCAAGCTTCCAGTTCCACGAGTGTCTGAACGTAACGGAACCATTTGCTGTCACAGGTTTGATAATATTACAATTATTTACCTTTGAATACATTTTTTTAGGCATTTTGGATGCACCTATTTTATAATTACATTCTGTATAAATATAAAATTTTAGTATTTCAATTAAACATGAGTTGAAACCAATTTTCAAGTGGTTTTGTAGGGTAAAACATATGATTTTGTGCTTGTAAGTTCAACATATATTCAGTTGGTTGTGCACCAAAATCGTGAGTCCTAAGTGCAGCAACTATGGTATTAAAATAGGATGAAAATGTAAAGCTTAATTTTACTTTTTTACTTACATTTTTAATTTAAGGCTTATGCTAAAATTTTAGCATTATTTTAGCAATAGTTTCTTCCTAATGTAGTGAAGATATACACAACATTTAAAAGGGTGTTTTGAGTGTGAGCAGCAGCAGTATGATGGAAAGGAATGAAAATGGTCGTTAGTGTAAGGATAAGCAGTTTTTGGTAAGAGATGAATGCTGAGGGTGGGGATATGAATGCTGAGGGTGGGGATATGAATGCTGAGGGTGGGGATATGAATGCTGAGGGTGGGGATATGAAGGTTGAGGTAGGGATATGAATGCTGGGGTAGGGATATGAATGCCGAGGGTGGGGATATGAATGCCGAGGGTGGGAATGTGAATGTCGAGGGTGGAAATGTGAATGCCGAGGGTGGGAATGTGAATGCCGAGGGTGGGGTAAAATGTTTGTGAGGTTAGATGTTCATGCAGGTGAATGCTCCCTCCTGAGATAGAATGAAGCATGTGTTCAGGGGGTTGTAGAGAGTGAAAGGAAGTCTTAAAATTTCCAGAAATAATAAGTAAGTTAAGTAAATATTGGAAGGAACTGAAGCATTTCCAGAGGAATTTCATAAAATATTAAATGATGAGTTAGATATTATTGATTGTGCTGGATCATCATTTGTAATAATGCTGTAAAAATGATTTGATGACTTTTGTAACACCACGATAACTATTGTTTATACATTTTACTGTTGATTCTTGCATCCCTATATAATCTGGTATAATTGATTGTAGGGTTGTGGTGGTTAAGCTGGAAGGAGGTTCACCACTTCAGAATCTGCCCGAGCCCAGTAAGCTGCCACTCAGTACGTACGAAGAGGTTCACCGCTCTCCTTCCTCCACCGGTGCTTATGTTGCCGAGGCATTCTCTGGGTAAGTCATATATAATGTACTCCAAATCTATACCAATGTAAGCAGAGTCAGTAAGCAAACACTCGTGCCTAGGGTGTGCACTCTGTTTGCATGCATGAACTACTCCTGGTGGTGCGAGTGAGAACGCGGCGACACTGAAATGTGTAAACTCTTTTCAGTTTTCTCACCTTAATTTTGTGCTACGTCATTCGTTTTGGTATCATTGTGTTTGCAATAGAATTTCCTACAGGTGTATATGCATATAATGTCCAAAAGCCTGACTTGACTCCCCACAGCAAAGTCTAAAGTCGGCAAAAGTTACCCATGAGTGCACAAAATCAGTAAAATGTGTATACTCATTTCAGTTTTCTCACCTTAATTTTCATGCTATGTCATTTGTTTTGGTATCATTGTGTTTGCAATTAAATTCCCTGCAGGTGTATATGCATATATTGTCCAGGGGCCAGATTCACGAAAGAACTTACGCAAACACTTACGAACATGTACACCTTTCCTCAATCTTTGACGGCTTTGGTTACATTTATTAAACAGTTTACAAGCATGAAAACTTGCCAATCAACTGTTGTTATTGTTATAAAAAGCCTCCTGGTGCTTCGGATCTCATTAACTCTTTAATAATTGTAAACAAAGCCGCCAAAGATTGAGAATAGATGTAAAGGTTTGTAAGTGCTTGCGTAAGTGCTTTCGTGAATCTGGCCCCAGAAGCACAGCGTGACTTCTTTAGCAAAGTCTAAATTTACCCTGTGAACAAGCACCAATTGGAACACCCGCAACCTAATGTGTATACTCGTTCAGTTTGACAACATCAATTTTTGTGTTACATCGCTCGTTTTGGTATCAAATTGTTAGCAATATAAATGTGCGAATTTTAAAACTAGTCCCATAATAATAGAGCAATAAATGGAATTTTAACAAATTTTTAAAATTTTGGACATACATCATCACAAAATTAATAAATCTTTCCAGTGTTCTGACATCAATTTTCGTGTCACATCTTTCATTTCAGTATCAAATTGTGCGCACTCTAAAGGCGTTTATTTTAAAACCACTCCCAGATTGATCGGATAAAATGTAAATTTGTAAAAAAATATTTTAAAACGTTGACGCCACTTGCGTCACCGACTCGGACTTAAGAGAAAAATTTCTAACGCTAGGGGCGTTAACGGAGAGCAAAAGTGTTAAGTGTATACAACCATGTAAAATAGACAGGCAACTTGATAATGGTCCAGTACGGACTGTAATGTCGTTGTCTCTTTATCTTGTGGTGTGTGGTTTGGTCATCATGCAAAATAGCTTGGAGTGATTAATAGCAGTATTACAATTACAATTTATTTTTTTATTAAGATAGTAGTTAAAAATTTTGAAATGTCTTATTGCTTGTGGTTGTTTTGAGAGGTTTTAAATTTATCATATTAAAGTGAAGGGTAATTCATTTTTATCAAACCCTCAACAATTTCTCATCAGAATTCTGTTGTATTTGGTATACAGATATTTAGGAAATCCACTTGTGTCCTGTAATACTTTGGTTTGAAAGTACAGTATCAAAAAATGCAACCTAGAAATAATCTTAAATGTATGCAAACACACCAGAATACAACAAGAGAAAGAAGACATAGTAAACTGAATTTCCCTAGACTCAAAAATCATTTAATACTGCTCTTCACAGAAGGCTTGACCATAAGATGGAGAGGCACATTAGAGTAAATGGATTCACACTGTAAAGATGTTGCGAGTGGGATCTCTCAAGGCTGTCCTGAGACCATTAATGAACCCTCTTCCAACCTTCACCCTCCCCCCCCCCCCCATCCCCTCCCAGGCAAATTTTGTCAAAATGACATTGATGTAATAGTGAGTCAATGAGTTGGTGTTGATCGAGCTTTGATTAAATGTTATTTGAGCATGTTATGTTTGTTGGGTACCTAACGTACGTGCCAGAGGATTGTGTTTACTTATGTCAGTACAGGATTTGCAAATGATTGAAGCTATTGGAAGGAGTATTATTATTATTATTATTATTATTTTTATTATTATTATTATTATTATTATTATTATTATTATTATTATTATAAATCGACACCATAAGGTGAAGGCAACTGCAGGAGTCAGAAAGAGGAAATAGACTTGGGAATATAATTCCAAGGCTAACACCGAAACACACACAAACAGGATAAAATTGGCAAAATGTCAGAAGCAGAAAAACATTATAACAGTATTTAAAATCCCTAAACACCGACACTTAGACGACAATTTGCACAGCATACATCTGTAGTAGAGTGCAACTGTTCTCCAACAAAATATATTTGGTGGCCCTGATTTGTTTTAGTATGGACTGTGTTCCCTTTCAACCTCCCCCCCCATCCTCACCCTCTCCATGCCCAGGTTTTGTGTTTTGTTTAGTTTTTCCATTATTTTGAGCACTACTACTACTACTGTACTGCATAGTGTATATAGGTGTTTTTGGAGAGACTTCCTCAAGAGCTCCTCGAGTTGAGTGCTGATCTGGCCTGGCTTACAGGGGATGCACTGGGCCTACCTGTGCATACAGGGAGCCTGGACCAGAATCTGATGCTCTCTATCGGGTGACAGGAACCTGGGAAGTGGAGATCAATTCCAAAACCATTACCGGATTGAGAAGATTTCTTAGCTACAGCAACTCGTCCCTAGACGGCCGACTCGGCCCCTAGGGAGCCGGTCAGCCGAGCGGACAGCATGCTGGATTTGTGATCCTGTGGTCCCAGGTTCAATCCTGGGCGCCGGCAAGAAACAATGGGTAGAGTTTCTTTCACCCCATGCCCCTGTTACCTAGCAGTGAAATAGGTGCCTGGGTGTTAGTCAGCTGTCACGGCTGCTTTCTGGGGGGGGAAGCCTGGTCGAGGACCGGGCCGTGGGGACACTAAAGCCCCGAAATCATCTCAAGATAACCTCAAGAAGATAACCTAGATGACAGCACCCACAGCTCAAGGCACACTCAGTCTTGAACTGTCCAGTGGAGAACCCCACAATGAATGGGGAAGGAGAAGAACCCCACAATGCATGGGGAAGGAGGAGAACCCCACAATGCATGGGGAAGGAAGAGAACCCCACAATGCATGGGGAAGGAGAAGAACCCCACAATGCATGGGGAAGGAGAAGAACCCCACAATGCATGGGGAAGGAGGAGAACCCCACAATGCATGGGGAAGGAGGAGAACCCCACAATGCATGGGGAAGGAAGAGAACCCCACAATGCATGGTGAAGGAGAATAACCCCACAATGCATGGGGAAGGAGAATAACCTCACAATGTATGGGGAAGGAGAATAACCCCACAATGCATGGGGAAGGAGAAGAACCCCACAATGCATGGGGGAAGGAGAAGAACCCCACAATGCATGGGGAAGGAAGAGAACCCCACAATGCATGGTGAAGGAGAATAACCCCACAATGCATGGGGAAGGAGAATAACCTCACAATGTATGGGGAAGGAGAATAACCCCACAATGCATGGGGAAGGAGAAGAACCCCACAATGCATGGGGAAGGAGAAGAACCCCACAATGCATGGGGAAGGAAGAGAACCCCACAATGCATGGGGAAGGAAGAGAACCCCACAATGCATGGGGAAGGAAGAGAACCTCACAATGCATGGGGAAGGAGAACCTCACAATGCATGGGGAAGGAAGAGAACCTCACAATGCATGGGGAAGGAGGAGAACCTCACAATGCATGGGGAAGGAAGAGAACCTCACAATGCATGGGGAAGGAGGAGAACCTCACAATGCATGGGGAAGGAGGAGAACCCCACAATGCATGGGGAAGGAGGAGAACCCCACAATGCATGGGGAAGGAGGAGAACCCCACAATGCACGGGGAAGGAGGAGAACCCCACAATGCATGGGGAAGGAGGAGAACCCCACAATGCATGGGGAAGGAGGAGAACCCCACAATGCATGGGGAAGGAGGAGAACCCCACAATGCATGGGGAAGGAGGAGAACCCCACAATGCATGGGGAAGGAGAACCCCACAATGCATGGGGAAGGAGGAGAACCCCACAATGCATGGGGAAGGAGGAGAACCTCACAATGCATGGGGAGGAGAAGAACCCCACAATGCATGGGGAAGGAGGAGAACCTCACAATGCATGGGGAAGGAGAAGAACCCCACAATGCATGGGGAAGGAGAAGAACCTCACAATGCATGGGGAAGGAGGAGAACCCCACAATGCATGGGGAAGGAGGAACACAACAGTGATGGGGAGCCACTGAGAGCCCCACCAGAAATACATATTGTATTACATTCAATGGTATATTTCTGGAAAGGCCTCCTCAGTAGCTCTCCAAAGCTACTGTAGTTAAATAAAGATATTGCACTCTACAACACTAGAAAATTAATTGACCAATGGTTATCATTTCATATATATATACACAAAAGTTCTTTGGGTTACCTTTTATATCCTGAAAGTTTTAAAATTGTGTAAGTGTAGACAATTTGTGGCAGATTCTATAAAGATTAAAGGGAGAAGGTGCAGTATATTTTAAAAGATGACTGTAAGCCAAAACAATTTATAAATATATTGGTATTAATCTTTCAGGTGGAACATAAAGGATAAGTACCTACTCCTGGGCGATGGAAAAGTTGTGGGTAACTGGTCTGGAGGCTGTTCTTCGTGCTTGGGGGAAATAAACCCAGGAGGCGAAATGGCAGCATTTCGTGGCACTCCGGGACAGACTGCCGTCGTTCCCGCCACCCGAGGAAACAGGCGTTCTCTGCTGTCTCTTCAAGTTGCGCCACCTGTAGTAGATGGTCTCCTATCAATGGAATCCAATTACACGGGCTTCATAGTAATGTCAGGTGAGACATGTATTCTGCTCCAAGTCTAGTAATTTGATACTAGAAATAGTGTTTTAATACTCGCATGAGATGATTGGTTTCCAACCCTCGCGGTACGTCCAGTTTCCATTATTTTCACTTATAGTTGTAATAATTACTGCATTTTATTAGGGCAAATTATAAAACATGTAATTTAGCAGATTTGAACCCAAATAACATGGAAAAGTAAATTTGTCAAAACATACAAATAAAAGAAGACTCCACCCAAACAATCCACCCGCCTTTTCACTAAAAAATGGCAAAATGTTTTTGTTTAAGGATTTAAAACTAGGGTGGCACAGTAGCTTTAACTAAGTTTTCAACTACAGAAATGCACCTCTAAAATTTTACTGTAATTTTGTTTGTTCATTTTAGTACAATCGGAGGATGGAAAATTGCTGACGGCATTTAGTGAATACTTCCCTGTGGTTCAGCCTATTGAGGATGTGGTGGACACGGGGCCCCCCACTCGTATATCCGAGATGCAAATTATTTATGTCGCTACGGGACTCTTCACATTTCTCCTCCTGCTCAGTATTGGACTGTGCACCCTTCTATGTTTTTACCGAAGACGAAATAAGCATCTGGAAGAGGAAGAGGTTGCAGAGAGTCTGTCTGGTTCTCTTGGGTAAGATACTGGATTTTTCAGGTTGATTTGTTTAGAGTATATGGTATCACTATTTAGTAGGCGTTGAGTAATCAAGGTTTTTATTATTCACTGTTGCCGTTTTCTTTTTCAAAGTTATATACCACTTGGTTCCCTAGGCAAGGTCCAGCTTGTGCCTTGGACAGGATCAGCACATAGACAAGACACATTGACATACCACACTGGCACAGGAGGAATCTATTCAAGCATCCCTAATGGGTCATACCTGTTCAAGGAAGACACCAGAAACCCAGTCTATATTGGAATAACCTCTAGATGGGTTTCATACGAACTCAAAATCATTTTAATTTTTTTTTGTCATTACTAGGACTCCGAAATCGCGCTCATTAATCACTAGTTGGCAGCACTGACATGTAAATAGAGCACCCTGACTGGGGCACATAATGTTCTTCCCAACTGGTTCCCCCATACAGGTCAGGCAAACACCAAAAAACATCAATTCTGTGATTTGTTTATTCTTAGAAACTCATGTTTTTGTTGTCCTGCAAGCTTATGCTTTAAGTGGACACTTCTTGTTCACACGTATGGTACGGTATACACAGTTTTTTGCAGGTCCCAACTTACTCACTAAATAATATTCTCTGTTCTGGCTGGATTATGGACCTGTTGTGATATTCCCAACTTAAGAGCAGCTTTACAGTCACAGCTGTTTGTTACTTAGTTGTGGGACGAGGACATATGTGCTGGGCACAAGTGTTTACGTATGTTTAGTCTCTTCATCACTCAAGTGTAGAGCACAATTCCTTTTGTTACACTTGTGTCACGTCTTGGCTGAGTGGTTTGTAGCTTTGTCTTTTCTAGTTTGTTTCAGTCATAGATTATTCTTGTCCTTGCATCTCTTAGGGGTAGATATGTTTTGGTTAAGATATGTTGAGAACTCGAGCTTTAGCACCCCGATTTCTTCATCATTTTGTGGTCTGGAGCAGAGGTCCTGGCTACAGCCAGTTCTCTGCTCATTTGGGTTTACCTTGGTGTGTATTAAAAGCAATATCTAGCTCTATAGTCCTGCCTCATAGTTAATGTACCTGGTGCATTTATTCTTTTCGATGTACAAGTAGTAAGTCATACTTGCTTCTGAAATGGTAAATGGTGATTGTTTCCATCACCTCAGAGTCGGTTTTACTCTGCTTGTTTAAAACTCGTACTACAAATGAGTATTTCCTTATATTTCTCCAGCTCATCTGTCTCTCTTACTTCCACCAATGTTCCCTCATTGTTTAGTCCCTCACCTGTAAAAGACTGTCTCTTATTCATTTTGTCTTATATAACTTTCTCCACTTTGCTAGATACTCTTGTACAATCATTTGCTGATCTGCATGAATGGCCTGTTGGCTCATACGAGGCAGCTCTTATTATCCCATACGGGGTAGCGCCTATTATCCCTTATAAGGCAGCTTCTATTGGTCCATACAAAGCAGCTCCTATTGGTCCATACGAGGCAGCTCCTATTGGTCCATACGAGGCAGCTCCTATTGGTCCATATGAGGCAGCTCCTATTGGTCCATACGAGGCAGCTCCTATTGGTCCATACGAGGCAGCTCCTATTGATCTGTATGAGGCATCTGCTATTGGCTCATATGGGGCAGTTCCTATTTATATCCTCCCAGACTCACTCATATATATGCAGAGAGTAAGTCACAATAAGTCATTTGATAAGATCGTTATTGCTCCAGTGCAGAGTGCCACTGTACCCCATCATGACTCCCTCCCCTGGGACCTTCAGGGATCTTGGCTTAGGAAGCATCTGAATATCTTAGTCAGAAAGGAACTTTTCATGTTCCATCAAAACCTAATTTTGACCTACCTCTTTCATGCTATACCAGGTACAGTATACAGTGCTGTAATTATGTATATATCATTGTGCAGAAAATTTGTCCTAGAAAAATCATAATTCGTCTTTATTACACGTAATTTAGTTTATATTTTGGATATCATACAGACCCATTTCATCATTCTTAGGACTACCCAGACTTAATATTCAAATCGTCCATCATTAGTATGCATATCTTCCAATTGATTGGTACCAAACAGTCTCACTAAAACACCCACTAAAGCATTCTTTCTTTTTGTTTTTAATTTAACTTTTGTCGTGACAGAGTATATAGATCCAACAGCCTCCCATGACCCGACACGTACTATGAAGTGCAGTACGTGTTCGAGAAGTGTGCCTCGGGAAGTCATTCGTCACTCACTAGTACTCGTCTGGTATTAATAGATAGTTTCTCTCATTACTCTTTTTATTTTTGTTTCATAATATTTATCACTCTTCATTCTCACTTTCTATCTTCATTCCTACTCTCTCTATTCTTACTTCCGCTCTTCATTCTCACGTCCTCTCTTCATTCTCACTTCCACTCAGCTTGTTACATAAACCTGACACATGAAACTTTATTGTCTTTAAAACTTTTCACTTCTAGCTTCTTTCATCCCTTATGTGTTCCTCTCACATTCCACACAGCCATACGAGCCTGCCTTTGCTTTCTGTGGCCGGGGCAAGCACGGGCCCCAGATCCGAGGCCGATTATGCTGTTGGTGGGGAGGAGCTACAGAAGATGGTGGGGTCGCCACATCCCTATGGAACGCCGTACTCCAGCTGCATATTCCAATTTAGGTCGAATATATATGTTGTGAATACTATTTGTAGCTTTGCTCCATCCATATACGTAGCAGCTATCCTAATATTCGCCAGTATCGCATAGGATTCTCTGACTGTGGCATTTGTATATTTTTTTCCGGTGATGGGTTTTCATCTGCTGTATAATCACTCTTAATTAAGATCATTTCTTGATCTAATTCTTGCAAATTTTCTCACACAGTTGCTGTGAGTTTACACTTACCAGTTCGTGCTTGTTTTGCTGGGAGGAAAGATCTAGGTCCTGGATCGTGCCTCTTAGCTATCTGTAGTGTGGGTCAATTACAGCTGACCTTCCATTGCTTAGTAATACAGTATCTGCTTTTAAAGATGGGTTTGGTGCTGGTCTGTACTACTGCCTCTTCTTGATTAATCCATTTGTTTACTATACATATATTAAGAGAGTTTTTACTTATGGTTCATCTCTGCATCCAGGTTCCTTTGGCACCGTGTCATTCTGTTTTTGGGCAAAACAGAGTTTTATTGCAGAGAATAAGATACAATAACATGGCTAAAACAAGCAACCCAACCCACACATGAAATGAAATGAAAGTGACAACTTTTGGTCTGGCCTGGATTCTCTACCATCCCACTCCTCCTATGTCAGGACTAGATAAGGGTCCAGAATGGGCCAAAACTTTGTCATTTTTATTTCATATCTTGTGTGTAGTTTGGGTTACAGATTGTTATTGTTCACTCTGTCTCTCAGAATCTTGTACTATGTCATGTTTTCTCTGGCTCTTCTTCAGCTATATTAGGTTAAGTTTCATTAGCCAGTTCTTATGTCCCAGGTTCCTTGTCTCTGGAATTAACCTTATGACAAATCTTTGGACCACCTTGAACTTTGTACCTCTTCAAGATGAGAGTTCCTTACAAGTGCTGGATACTTGTCTTAATGTTGGCTGTGTGTAATGTTTTGAATATTGGATTATTAATTAGTTAATTCTTCTTTAATTCTCAAGTGTTCATTCATACCTGCTCTTAAAGTTGTGTATGGAGGTGGCCTTAGGGCAAATAAAATTTACACTTACAAAATAAATACTATTGATTTTTGTTCACGTTGTACCTGTGCCTCTTCATTTTATCTCTCCACCTGGGATAGTGTTCCTGTCCACTGTGTCATTGTGTCAGACTGAGCACTTTTGTTTTATTTCTTGTGTAAGGTATCTTGTGTTTGACACAGTTGGGGCTCCTTGCCTGGGCCACATGTACCGGGACTGGTCTAGTATGTTTGGCTGTTTCACATAAGCTGTTAATTTTATTTTATTTCTGTGCCCCTGACATTAAAGTTTGTATTACTTCAAGAGTCAGGCACTTATTATTCCGATTCATGTAACTTCTTCCCTTCTGTTCTCTAACGCTTCTCTGGTCTCCTGTTCCTTATTCCTATTCTTATTGATTTATGTTTGCTAAGACTTATCTACCCACTCCTGCAGGGTGTTTGGGTCTTCCTGCGGCAGTCTACAATCCTCATCAGTACTGTATTTGCTTTTCTCATTAGCTTGACATAATTTGTAAATATTGACATATAGGAGCTTAGCATCTTGTGTACATTGTTTACGTACATCGAGAACAGTAGGTGCCCAAGGCAGGAGCCCTGTGGAACCCCTCTTGCCACTTCTCTGCACTCTTAACATTTCTTCTTTCAGAATTCCTGCTTGTGATGACCTGTCTTCATATATTTTACCATAAATGACTTTCAACCTTCTGGTGATTTTAGCGCCAAAAAAAATTCCTGCCATCTATCATTCTCTTAGTAAATATATTCTTCTTGTTAGCTTTCTGTTTATCTTTTAAAGAAGTTTACAACTGTTTTGTCTCGTTTTGGTTAATTCTGATTTTAAAACTTTATTGTCTGTTTTATTGTATCATTTTTCAATTTGATTTGTGATTTTTATATCTCCATTTTCATGTTTCTTGTAGTTTGGGCATTTTCTTAACCTTTTGCATCACATGTGAACATGTCCACACTACCTGAATCACCCTTGCCCTTTTGGCAAATAATTGAAGTCCACAACATAATTAAAGTAAGTACTTATCTTTGCCGGACCACATTAGTGACTTAGCGATGATAGATCTCCTCTTGTGACTGTATTTGTAGTGTTTCTGGGGGCGAGCTCTGTCGACTCCCTGGAGCTATCCAGGCTGATATGGATATATTAGCTTTCTGGCATCAGTCAATGTGCATGGAGTTCTTGCCTATCGGGAACCACGAGCCAGAATCTGCCCCCCCCACCTCAGAGAGGCACGAGGAGCAGTGGCCTATAGAAACACCCGTATGGTTGGAAGTCCACACAGGGACTATGGTATGTCCCGTCTTGGTTCCTATGGACTATGGTATGTCCCAGCCATCTTGGTCTTTGGGCCGGGTTCTCTCTTTTCTCTCTCCTCGGTTTGTAGTGGTCCATTCAGTTCGGGATTGTTTTTCTAAGGCCCTTTTTTCCTGTTGGCATTGGCCTGTGGGGGTCGGGTTGGAGAGCTTCATGCTCTCCTCCGGCGCAGGGGTTTCTGCTCTTCCAGTCCTGGTGGTTGGTTTGTTCAGTTGCAGCCGTCTCCTTCTATTCTGGCAAAGAACTGCTGCTTTCTGGAGGGGTCCTTGGGTTGTTGATGCTTGGTTGGTCAGGTCGGGGGTGCATCATGTGTTGTGTCCGGTTGCTGCTCTCCGCCTTTATTTGTGCGCCACAGCTTCGGTGGCCGGGGATGCTCTTTGGGTTGACCCGGTTTCCCTCCTTCTCTGTTCGTGGGCTAGGGTCTACTAGGTCGTCCGCAGGGTTATTAAGTCTAGCCAGCCTGCAGTCTATCCTTGTGCCCACGATGTTCGTAAGTTTGCTGCCTTGGCTGCCGTCTTTGGTAACATGTCTTGGGTTGACATTCGGGCATGGGGTTTTTGGAGGTCAAACAGGGTCCTGGTCACTCGCTACCTTGTCAGTGTCCCTGGACCTAGTAAGGTCTGCGTTGCATTGGGCTGGTGGTTGCGCCCAGTTGTCTCAACTTTGTGTTGAGGAGTGAGGACTGACCACCTTCCAGGTAAGTCCCTGTATTTTTCCTTGTCTTTGGGTAGTTAGCTCCGGGTAGCCGACGGGGCTACCCCCAGAAAACTAGCTATGAATGTAATGAAATGCCATTTTCTGGGTGAACCCCGGAGGCTCTCTAGCATCCCTCCGTCCCTCCGGTGGGCAGTGTTTTCACATGTTTTTGACATCCAGCCTAAGAACTGCCAGTTGGATCGCCGGTGCGAGGATCTGGTGCTCCCCTTTCCCGAACCCGAGGAGTGGGGGGGGGGGGGTTGCACAGACAGCGATCCAGCAAAGTGATGACGTCATGCTCGTTTGCTAATTTTCATTTGGGGAGTTCTGTCCACTTGTTCGGCTTTCACTAGCAATGGTTTCACCAGAATAGAGGCTTGTTTTGGGGCACCTACCTTTCTGGGTGCCAGACCCGGTCGATGACAGGCATAGAATGCTCCGAAACACATATGGGGGTTTCTATAGGTAATTGCTCCTCACGCCTCTCTGAGGGGGCCAGGTTCAGGCTCATGGTCCCTGGTAGGCAAGAACTCCATTCACATTGATGCCAGAAAGCTAATATAATACATACCAGCCTGGATAGCTCCGGGGGAGCCTCCGGGACTCACCCGGAAAATGGCGTTTCATTACAGTCAACGCTGGTTTTTTAGGAAGACTAATTAAAAAGTTAATGTATTCTCCATCAGTCTTCTGCATCATTCTGTATTATTAACACTATATGCGGTATGCTGTAAATGTTCGATGGTGCTATTCCATCTGATCCTTCAGTTTTATTCCTGTGCATCTCTTAAGAGTAGTTTCTTCTCTTCCAATCTTGTTAAAACTGCTGATCCCATCTTGTTTGTTTTAATTCCAAGTTCGGTGCATAAGTTTCTCACCCAAAATAAATATATCTTTAAGCTTTTCATTTATCGTTTCATACATTTCTTCTTGTCACCAACATTTTTGCTATCATTGTTTATTCTTTGTTTTTATCATTTTCATTTAGTTTGCCGTATATGAGCTTCAAAATCTAATTAGATTCTATTCCAAAATTATTTTGCAATAGCATTTTTAAAGATCCTTTGTTTCCCCCCTGTCTTCCACGTAGTAATTTAATAGCAGGTAATATCTCAGTAAGATTGAGAGTGGTATGTTTAAGGTACTGATATAATTCATTCTTCTCCATTGCAAACAAGTTCTATGTAATTCTCCCATTTTACATCCTTTGTTATTTCATTCACTTACACCACTAGAGCCTCGAACTCACGAGCACTAGAGTAAAAATCATCAGTGTCGTACTGAAGTACATTTACCCTCACACTGCTCAAATCTCCACATGTGAATTTGTTGCCACTAAGTTCTTAAAATCAGGTGCCCTGTTACAGTGGGGAGGTGGTTCAATATAAATATTTAGGGTTAAATGCCATGAATTTGTCACATGTATGCTCACCCTAAACTCGTGGGCTGGGCTCTCCCAGGGTAACTTACTGGAAATGAGTCCACAACCTGGCCGTTGCCAGCCTGGCCCCCCAGTGATCGATCACAATAAAAACAGAAAACCTGTTGTATACGGATATAATGACAATCTAGTCAGGCCCCACTGGATAAGTGAAAAGGTTTTAACCGTTAACAATTTATTTCACTTCCTCCACACACCCACACTCATAACAGAAGTTCTGATTGACAGAAGTTACTCTACTCTCCTATACTCCCCTCATGTAATAAGAGCATGCACTCACATAAGCAAATACTAGACAAGCAATCAAGCCCAATGGAAACCGAACCGTTATAGCCGAATCAAAAACACCGATACAACACTCCCTCCAGATGACCAGACCACACACTAGAAGGCGAAGGAACGACGACGTTTCGGTACGTCCTGGACCATTCTCAAGTCGACAATCGACTTGAGAATGGTCCAGGACGGACCGAAATGTCGTCGTCCCTTCACCTTCTAGTGTGTGGTCTGGTCATCACTCCCTCCAGATCCTCTCACAGAGCACTCTATATGAACTAGAGTGATCCGTGAGTAGCATGTTAAATAGTAATACAAATAATAATTTGAAACGGTGGCAACAGTGAATGATCAGGACTTACTGATAATTCAAGGTGCAGCTCAAAGTGCAGCACCTTCCCCTAGCCAGACTTGGCACCAATTAAACCCCTCTCTCTTGCCCCCTGACAGTATTTACCCAAAAAAAAACTATCGCACTGCAGCCGTCCTGTACTTCCAGTCAGCATTTGCCACTTATAACTTAAATATCACATAACTTAATAATCCTACTGGCTATGTATTATAAAGTAACTTAGTGACTACAAAAGTTAAAACATAGCTGGAAGTTTACAAACAGGTATTCACAAATAATCGAGGCGCCGGCAGCGCCGTCACCACTGGAAATAATACAGTGGACAAATCAGTTTCTCACACTACTTTTCTCTCTCTCTCTTTAATTAATAGACACCAGGTCCCATAACATGGCTCTCGATGTTGAACTTCTCAATAGCTGCGCAGTTGAGGGCTTCCAGTAGCACACGATTCCTCTTTCATAAAGAGTCAAATAGTAGATTCTGAAAACTTTTCTAATGCATTCTACTTTTAAAATAATTGGTGCGTTTCCTTTCCACGTTGTGGTTGTCTTGCAGATTGGGACTGAAGTGCTCCTGGTCATCAGATTTAAAAGCTGAAGAGCCTATTTTAACCTTGCTTCATATACCTGGCATTTTATAGTTTCAAAGTTAAAATCTACTATTAGAGTTATATTTTTCTCTGGGTTTATTTTCTTTAGTAAACCCATTATATTAGTGAGTAAACTCATCAACTCTACCTGCAATTTCTCCATTTTGCTAGTAATACTATTTATTTTCTTTGTTAGACTTCACTGTTATAACTTTTCTTGTAATATGTGGGTTTTGGAGTACTACATCTCTGGCTCTTGAATGACCTTTTGTTAAAAATTACTATTCCATCCAAAATTGTTTACCTATTGATTACTTGTTGTTTATTTTGATGGTTCTTTTGTAGCCAGGCCTAGGCCTTGCCTTCTCCACACTGTGTGGCCGTTTATAAGTATTGCCAATGCAAGTCGGCGTTTAATTCCCGACTGTCCAAGTGATTGGGGTCCATTCCTTTTTCTCGTCCCATCCCAGATCCTTATCCAAACCCCTTCTAAGTGCTGTATAGTTGTAATGGCATAGTACTTTCTCCTCATAGTTCCTTCCTGCCTTATAAATATTGCCTCATTTAGTATTTTTTCTCTAGTTTAATTTTGGCTGCCAGTACCCTGATTCTAGCAATTTTGAAGGTTACTCCATCTATGTATAAAGTATTTATTAACTTGTATGCAGCATTTACTTACATTAAATAGGCTTATTACTTTTTTGCAATAATCTTTTTTTGCACAACTTCTTTGGTATTTGCAATATTACTATTATGTCAAAGATTTTTTGGGGGGCTCCTTGCATTATTTAATGTTTTGGCTTTATTCAACTTAGCTTTGGTCTATGTCCTCTTTTAATAAATCTCTCCTAACTACTAATTTCTTGCATTTTTACCTTTTGTGTAAGGTTGAGTGAGTGATCTGAGAGTAATTGTTCCCAGTGTTTCTCTTTGCCTATGTTGAGGATAATTGTGAATGAGATGGGAAACAGTGAAAAGAATTTGATGTGGGTACACCAGAGAGATTGTCTGGATGTGATGATGTTATTGAGGCATCGTAGATGATAGTGCTCAGAGAGTAAGTGTGGAGTGTCTTAAGTTGGGGTGTGTGGTAAATAATATTAAGAGGAAATGGAGACGTTGACCCTCACTTGACTCCTGTAGTGCAGTGAACATCAGGTCCTGTAGTGCAGTGAACACCAGGTCCTGTAGTGCAGTGAACACCAGGTCCTGTAATGCAGTGAACACCAGGTCCTGTAGCGCAGTGAACACCGGGTCCTGTAGCACAGTAGTTGGCATCCTTGGATAACAATTGAAGGACCTGGGATCACTCGTTGGGCATGTTTCCTTTCACCTAATGCCTCTGTTCACCCAGCAGTAAATATATCCATACCTGGAAATTAGACAACGGGCGTGGGTTGCATCCTGGGCAAGGTCAGTAATTGGCATAAAGGGTGGGACTGCCATAGGCCTAAGTACTGTACAGGCTTCCTGTCTCAGACAACAAGAATTACTGGTAATTGTTCTTGCTATGTAGAAGATGCTTTTCAGCCCAGGTCAATGTTTATTGGGAGTACATGTTAGGGGGGCTCGTCGGTGCTTTGTTCACCCCATTGTTATGGCCATTGATGTTTAGGTATAGAATACATAATCCAACCCACACTTGAAATGAAATCAAACAAAAGTGACAACATTTCAGCCCATCCTGGACCCTTACCAAGTCGCAACAAGAATCCAGGATGAATTGAAACATTGTCACTTTCATTTCAGTTCATGTGTTTTTGGAGTTAGTTACTTGTTGATATATATATATAATATAATATAGAATGTTTAACAAAGGGATTGCATGAGACAAGTGAAGGAGAGGCTTAGAGGAGTGAGGTATGGAGTGAGAGGAGTAAGGAAGTACAGTATACATGTAATGAATGAAGACTAAACCACACATCAGACGATGACGGACATCTGGGTCCGTCCTGGACCATTATCATGTTGACAATGGTCCTGGACGGATCTAAACGTCGTCGTCTCCTCATCTTCTGGTGTGTGATAAAGTCTTCATATCTTCAGCCATGTTATTGTGACTCTTCATCTGCATGTAATGAATGTTGTTAATTTGCTCAAATGTATGGAATTATGATTAAGAAACCCCGAGAACAAATTTACTCGCTACAACTCTTGCAGTTAGAAATATCATATTAGTTTGTGAATAGATTAAAGGTATAATTTCCGCGGTATGTTTTGTAGTACATTTATGAAAAAATCCGTCATAAAAAATTTATTTTCAGAAGGATCTTTCGTTCGCTGCGACGATCTCACACGCTTATGTCCCAGCCAGCAGTAGATGTGAAACCAGTTCCTCGAGATGAGCTTGTTCCACAATATATCGATAAACTCAAAGATTCAGAACTTGGATTCAGACGTGAATACGAGGTAGGTTATAATTAGCTTTCTGAGCTATCCCACTTGGTTAATCCATAAGATATGATTTTGCTGGCATTGAGGAAATAAATGATGCATTGAGGCAGGACAACAGATAAAGATACCACAGGGAACCTTTTAAATGTTCCTGCTGCATGGTATTGGTACTGGGGAGCATTGGAGGATATCATCCAGCTAGAGTGAGCTCCACGAAGCTAAAGAAATACACACTTAAAAACCATTTATTCAAACATAAATTTGTTTATACTAAGGGGATATTTTATGTGCATAATGTTCCTCTTACCATTTTGTAATGTTAATGGTTAGTATATCATGTAATTTAATTTTTGTAGGCACTCCCTGAGAAGTTTTATGATCGAACAAGCCGGGCCTCAGACCTCATAGAAAATGCTCCCAAGAATCGCTATCCGGATATCAAAGCTTACGACCAAACGAGAGTAAAGTTAACGCAACTGAATGGAGCTGTTGGGTCAGATTACATCAACGCCAACTATGTTTTGGGTTACAAGGAACGCAAGAAGTTTGTCTGTGCTCAGGGTAAGTAGGATATCTGTGTGTATGAAATATGGTGAAGTATTTATTATAACCTTATGAATAGCCTGGTATTTTTGGTCTTAGTAGTGAATTAATCTGTCATGTTTATTATTGAGCTATGTGTAAAGGATGACTCATCCATACATCAACAAAACAATTTGCTAAATGTGGTGGATGACACACAAGTGTGTCATAATTACAATTAACTAAATGCAGCAGATAACACAGAGCTGTATCATCATAATAATTACTTAACTGTACTGGATGACACACAGATGCATCCAGAAAATGTAATGCATATTGTATTCAATTTTCCTTTTTTGTTGTTAAACTGCTACAGTAGCTTTCCTATGGTATTACAGTCTTAAAATAACTCCACAGCATTTTAACATTTTCTTCATATAAATTCTAATTTTTTTTTTTTTTTTTAGGACCAATGGACACAACAGTGGATGACTTCTGGAGGATGATAGTTGAGCAAGGGTGCGGTGTGTGCGTTATGCTCACAAACTTAGAAGAAACGGGCAAGATAAAGTGTGTAAAGTATTGGCCTGAAGCGGGCCAGCCCAAGACATTCGGTAACATCACTGTTTATCTTGTCAAGGAAAAGGCATACTCAGGTAAGTCATAATGGGCCCCCCCCCCTCCTGTCATCCATTGTTAATGGTAATTTCCTCGATAAAGTCAAAGAAAGCCCAGCACTGGCTAGTCTAAGTGTGAAAACATGTTGACTGAGGCAGCGGGGGTCTCCATAGGGTACCTTACCTTGAGGTTACCTTGAGGTTACTTTGAGGTATTTTCGGGGCTTAGCGTCCCCGCGGCCTGGTCGTCGACCAGGCCTCCTCGTTGTTGGACTGGTCGAACCAGGCTGTTGGACGTGGCTGCTCGCAGCCTGACGTATGAATCATAGCCTGATTGATCAGGTATCCTTTTGAGGTGCTTATTGAGCTCTCTCTTGAACACTATAAGGGGTAGGCCAATTATGCCCCTTATGTGTAGTGGGAAGCGTGTTGAACAGTCTCGGGCCTCTGATGTTGGTAGAGTTCTCTCTCAAGAGTACCTGTTGCACCTCTGCTTTTCAACGGGGGTATTCTGCACATCTTGCCATGCCTTCTGGTCTTGTGTGATGTTATTTCTGTGTGCAGATTTGGGACCAGCCCCTCTACAATTTTCCACGTGTAAATTATGTATCTCTCCCGCCTGCGCTCAAGAGAATACAGATTTAGGCTCTTTAGTTGGTCCCAATAGTTTAGATGTTTTACTGAGTACATTCTAGCAGTAAAGGATCTCTGCATGCTCTCCATGTCAGCAATTTCTCTAGCTTTGAAAGGGGCTGTCATTGTGCAGTATTCCACTCTAGAGAGCACTAGCGTATTGAACACGTCACGTCATACACACAACGGTTCACCAGCATATTTTAAAGCCTACCTAATCTAACTCAAACCTAATTTTACCCATACAACCCTAATTTAACCCAAATGAGGCTAACACTGCATAATCAAAAGTTAATACATCCTAACCACACGATATATATACAGTTTTGACAATTGGAACATAAGCTGTCGAAAAGTCTTGTGTTCGACTCGACAATACCCAACCACCCTTTTGTACAATACTCAACCATGTGGTTGCCGCATGGGTGTTTTAGCGTGCTGCCACAAAATTCAAAGGAATGAAAATCATTTGGGCACCTCATAGTTTGCCAGTAATCATTCTTATCGTATGTGACAGACAAAATGAATAATGCGTACTAAATAAGTTGTTAGTAGTTCCTCAAGCTAAGGGCTGGTCCAGTCAAGCCTTGCATTTCTTCCACTCATTTGCATATCCAGCTTCCACCATATCTATTTCCCTGGAAGGAATATATGAAAAGTAAACCTTTGAAGATACTGAAAAATTTGGCTACAGTGAAAGGGGAACTAAATGTTGTGAGGAAGGGAGCAGTGAGTGTTGTGAGGAAGCAGGGAGTGAATGTGTGAGGAAGCAGGGAATGAGTGTATGAGGAAGCAAAGGTGAGTGTGTGTGTGTGAGGAAGCAAAAGTGTGAGTGTGTCAGGCAGCAGGGAGTGAGTATGAACAGCATGTGTAATATTGTCGAGGATAAGGCTGGATGACATTTATAAGTACTCAGGGTAATATATTTGGATAGTTGGAAAGTAGAACACATGGAAAGAAAAGTTGTCGAAGCCACTTAACATCCACAACTTTAATTACAAATCTGGAATGGAATTTTGAACTACAAAGAGGTGTAATAAGCACACTGTATATGAATACCTCGATTATATTCCCCATAATCAGTGATGGGTAAGCAATTCATGAAATGCACTGTAGAAATCATACAGTGTGATGGTGATAGTCTTTCCTTGAGGTTACATAGTGTGAATGGTGAGTAGACAAGCTTTTTCCTTTGGGCTGATACCACCTCCGTATCCTGAAAGTGGGATACAAGGCAGTGGTGGTGATGTAAACAATGTTAATGTATTGAAATATAGGATGGTATTCACCTCGTTGTGCTTGCGAGGGTGTAGCTCTGCTCTTTTGGCCCGCCTCTCAACTGTCAATCAATCAACTGTTACTAACTAACTAATTTTTTGCATCTTTTGCATCTTTAATTAATAGAATTTAAGTATCGGAAATGCCCTAGCTACTGAATATTAAATGTTTGTTTTGTGTAAGAAGTGCTGCATTTGTTTTTAACAAATACAGTAGATTTGTATTTTGATATTTGCAGATTTCATGGTTCGGACTTTGAGAGCAGAATGGGGTGAAGGGGAGGATCAGCACACCCACGAAGTTCGTCAGTACCACTATTTATTGTGGAAAGACTTTGTTGCTCCTGAACACCCCACAGGTGTGCTCTCTTTCCTCCGCCGCATCAACGAGGCATATTCTCACGACCAGGGACCACTCCTCATACACTGCAGGTTGGTATATATATATATGGCAATCAAAGCAGAATAATCTTTATAGTTTAAGAGCAAATACTTGGATTTATATTAAATGAATGTCTTCAGAAAAAGGCAAGTATACATTGTAGCAGTGTGGCTTTGTAACACTGGTGTTCCTGGATCTGCTGATCATTACATCTTGGAGTGATCTAGACCTCATTGCATCTGTGGTGTGCTGCCTATGAATATATCTGGCCACCATCCTCAGTAGCAGGACAGGCTCCTTTGAGATGCTCTACCCCTGGGAACAAGGACCCTTGCAAATCTCTCCAATTCCCTTTCTCTCTGGGATGGAATGCATTATGGGAATCAAAGATGAAGCCAGTAATGAGGCAAACTCTCAAATTATCAAAACAAAACTCTGACAATACACTTATTAATACATCAAATTTCCCCCCCTTTCCCCCCTCCTCTTTGCCACCAGGTGGTGGCAAAGAGGAGCACGGTCCACCGCCTGGTGGGGGTTTAAGTGTAGTTAAGTGTGTTAAGTTTTAGTGTCGCAGACGACACTATAAAAGAAGGAAAAAAATAACGGAAATGCTTAAGCAGACACGACTTTCCCTACAAAGAAGGAATAATTTAAAAAATGAGATTGAAGAAATCGAGCAGAAATTGAAACACTCATATCAGACTGAACAAAGGCAGTTAGAACAGAAAGCAATTCAGGAAATAAAGAAAAATACAGAATTCTGGACAGAATACTGTCCAGAATAAAACCGTGGACATCTTCAAGAAGAAACTAGATTGTTTCCTCCAAGGAGTGCTGGACCAATCTGGCTGTGGTGGGTATGTGGGCCTGTGAGCCTCTCCAAGCAACAGCCTGGTGGACCAAACACTCTCAAGTCAAGCCTGGCCTCGGGCCGGGCTTGGGGAGTAGAAGAACTCCCAAAACCCCATCAACCAGGTATCAACCACAACCATCCAAGTGAAGAGTCCACCTCACACACAAGGCTGCCGAGACACTCATAGTACTGTTGCAAAGTGTTCCTGCAGTGACCAATTGTTTCATAGAAACTATAACAGATTCCTTGAACTTGTCCAGCATTATGGCCTATGCTTATTCTGTTTCATGAGCAAGAATACTGTTTACTTTGTGTGTCCCCTTGTTACCTCCTGTTGCCATCACTTTTATTCAGGGTGCCCCTGATTGCAGCTGTCAGCTTAGACAGTGCCCCACCTGAATCCTCTTCATTGAGGTTTCCAATCCTCCCATGGGAAATTTTTTTTTCAAGTGACCCTTTCAAGTCTGGAGATTATTTACTTAGTTGCCAAACAATGTTTGGTAAATAATTTGTGTATGTATGTAAATTGTACAGGATTCAGTGTTTGATAGTCATATACGCAGTTTCTCAAACCTCGGTTTTCCATCTGAAGATTTGTTTGGTGTGGTGGGTCAGTGTATATGCTACATGAGGTTGTTTACCTCATTTATTGTTGCTAGCTGGGTTGCAATGAATACCAAAAGTGCAAGCAGCAGCTTGTTGCTGCTGCTTGCACTTTTCTGAATGTCTTGCAGTTTATTTTTGACACTGGTGAACACCCATATTACCTCCAGCACCCTACTTGATGTTTTTTCTTTAACCCTTGTGTGTGCAGTGTCTTTGTTATTGACCCTCTGTGTTGACTGAGTCAACCTCTGGTCATGGTCTACAAAGTGCTTACTAATTTGCAAGTAGACACCTAGCACTATAGGCTAGTTAAGGTTCCTGTTGCTGCTGGCTAGAAAGTTGAATGTCATCTATTGTATGAAAAAGAACATTAAGGTGCTGGTCTTGGGTAAGTCTGCCAAATCGCTGACTTGTTACGTGGATGGAGCACCTTTCTCACACTTTTACTTTTTAAATTAATAACTTGTACCTAGGCCTTTAGATATTTCTTACTGTGATTCATATATTATTTGTCATTTATTGTTTGTTATTATTTGCCGTACATTCTTTTATTTATTGTTTCAGGATAATGGTATAAGGTTAATTACAAACATTTACTCTATACCTCAAACATACAGTAATGTATATATAATATAGTAATGTCATAGAATTATGTGCTGTACTTTTCTGGAGTAATGTAATATTAATTTGCACAGATAATATGTTTTATTCATAGGATGGCAAGGATATTTTTACTATATTTGTCATTGTTGTGCATTACTTTTTCAGTAAAGAGAATTATGTGTCAAGTACAGGGGTATACTCTGCAATTTTTAACCATTACATACCTTCAGTGCTGGTGTCGGACGGACAGGAACCTTAGTTGCCCTTGATTCTCTGGTGATGGAGCTGGACGAAGAAGGCCAGGCATCCATCTTTAACCTTATCTGTGACCTTCGACACCAAAGAAACTTCCTTGTACAGTCTTTAGTAAGTTTGAAAGCTTTTTTAATATTTTTAAAAATTAAACAATTTTTGCACGTATCTTCATATTAACCCTTTAACCACTGTGATACCCCTTGTTTATTGGGACATTCTCCCTGTGCGCCAAAAGTCAAGTACTGTCTCCACTCGATCATCTGGACTATATGGGAAAGGACCCCCCAGTCGGATTATCACATTTTTCGGATAATGGTACTTTTTCACTTACGTGTCCAAAAGTGACCATTTCCAACTATTTTTATACTACAAACAACATAATTTTAATTGCCTTGCCACATATAATTATTAAATATTCAACTAGAAACCTCAACTTACCTTGTTGGTGTTCGTCTTCTTGATTGATGCCACACACCTTGAAGTTAAGAATTCTTAACAATTTACGTAACCTATACTAACACAACACTAAAATTAGCACTTAAAATTACTGTACAGTTCATTAAGCTAAGTTAGTTTTGACTGCCAGCTGCTGAAGCCTCACTGGTTGAAGGCATTTGGGCTGCCTGTGAGGCCTCACTTGTTGAAGCGCTTGCATGCCCTCACTTGTTGAAGGCGCTTGGCTTGCCTGTGACGCCTCATTTGTTAAAGGCGCTTGCTTGCACCTCACTTGTTGAAAGCGCTTGGCTTGCCTGTGAAGTCTTACTTGTTGAAGGCATTTGGCTTGCCTGTGACGTCTCTCTTGTTGAAGGCACTTGCTTGCGCCTCACTTGTTGAAGGTGCTTGGTTTGCCTGTGGCGCCTCACTCGTTGAAGGCGCTTGGCTTGCCTGTGGCGCCTCACTTGCTGAAGGCACTTGGCTTGCCTGTGGCACCTCACTTGCTGAAGGCACTTGGCTTGCCTGTGGCACCTCACTTGCTGAAGGCACTTGGCTTGCCTGTGGCACCTCACTTGCTGAAGGCACTTGGCTTGCCTGTGGCGCCTCACTTGCTGAAGGCACTTGGCTTGCCTGTGGCACCTCACTTGCTGAAGGCACTTGGCTTGCCTGTGGCACCTCACTTGCTGAAGGCACTTGGCTTGCCTGTGGCACCTCACTTGTTGAAGGTGCTTGGCTTGCCTGTAACGCCTCACTTGTTGAAGGCACTTGGCTTGCCTGTGGCGCCTCACTTGCTGAAGGCACTTGGCTTGCCTGTGGCGCCTCACTTGCTGAAGGCACTTGGATTGCCTGTGGCACCTTACTTGTTGAAGGCGCTTGGCTTGCCTGTAACGCCTCACTTGTTGAAGGCACTTGGCTTGCCTGTGGCACCTCACTTGCTGAAGGCACTTGGCTTGCCTGTGGCGCCTCACTTGTTGAAGGTGCTGGGCTTGCCTGTGGCGCCTCACTTGCTGAAGGCACTTGGCTTGCCTGTGGCATCTCACTTGCTGAAGGCACTTGGCTTGCCTGTGGCACCTCACTTGTTGAAGGTGCTTGGCTTGCCTGTAACGCCTCACTTGTTGAAGACGCTGGCTTGCGCCTCACTTGTTTAAGGTGCTTGGCTTGCCTGTGGCGCCTCACTTGTTGAAGACGCTTGCTTGCGCCTCACTTGTTGAAGACGCTTGCTTGCGCCTCACTTGTTGAAGATGCTTGGCTTGCCTGTGGCGCCTCACTTGTTGAAGGCATTTGGCTGCCTGTGACACCTCACTGGTTGAACAACACGTAACTTGTCTTTAATTGCTAGGACAACCTTCTTCCTCTTATCACCTCCAGAACGATTGATGCTGCTACCAGACATAGTCTTGGCCAAAAATGTTTAAAGTTACTATGAAAATAAAAAAGTTATTTAAAAAAATATTTCACTAATTGCACAGCACTGTGACTCCGCACTGGTTGAGGTGTATAACAGTAACTTGTTTTTAATTGTTAGGACAAACTTTCTTCCTCTTAACACCTCCAGAACGATTGATGCTGCTACCAGACATAGTCTTGGCCAAAAATGTTCAAAGTTACTATGAAAATAAAAAAGTTATTTAAAAAAATATTTCACTAATGGCGTAGCACTGTGTATAACACGAGGGACAGACGCACATGGGTTGACCAGTGTTGGACAGGTCCACTTGGGGTGGGGCAGCTATAGCACGTTACGTAGGCCGCCAGGAGGAAAAAACTCACAATATTTTTTAAGGAAACTTCAGCCTGTGCACATTGTTTTTAGGAAACTTATTTATTTGTTATTACATAATTACTAGTACTTATTTCATTTGGTTTTGGATATGATGCCAAAGTCTGATATTAGCATATCAGCCTAGTAAGCTCCGTGGAGCCTCCGGGTCTCACCCAGAAAATGGTGTTTCATTACATTCAACGCTGGTTTTTTTATTGTATATGATGTATAATTGTGTCCTTTACAAGATGTATACAGTAGAATGTTCATAATGTTCCATGGCACTGTGATACATGTGCCAGTAATGTGTCCACAATAAATGTTTGTCACAGTATCACTTGTTCAAAATTCACTAAAATTACAATATGTATAGTTTCACACACTATTTACACAGTAACACACTATTACACACTCAGTTCTTCAGAAGTGAGTGATAATCAACGAAGCAGTCCATGGTACACAGCGCGACTTCGCTCTCGATGTTCTAGGTACAGAGATAGATTTTCACTTCCTGCGTCTTCATTCTGTGTGCCTGCAAATAACACACTCACGTACACCCTTGGCTTTAGTACCTGTAAGTGGTATGTAGCCAAGCTTGTGAAGTGTAAGGTAGTCTTGAAAAGATTATAGGAAAAGATCAATTTGTAAGGTGGTCTTGAAAAGATCGCTTTGTAAGGTATTCTGGAAGAGATTCAGCCACTCTGGAAGAGATTCAGCTATTCTTGAAAAGATCTATGGAAAACATCACCATTGAAGCCGCTAACACTGTTCCTCTATGCTACCTGTATCAGATGCATCATCATTGAATCCAGAAAACGATTCATCTATGTATCATCTATAAAAATTGGAGATAACACGGGTGAGCATAGGAGGCACTCAGCTACAGCCGGATACACCCGCTGTATCTTCCTCATCGGTGCTGTATCACTTGCATCCGACCCCCTTGTGTTAGGTCCTTATTGTGCCTAGCTTCATCAATGTTATGATCCTTATGTTCTTCAAACAATAAGGTCTGAATTTCACTGAAGGAGAGCGATCTTTCAACATCGCATCCGACGGGATTGGGAGCCAGAAGTGCATGTGCCACCCTTGGTTGCTCATTCAAAACTGATCCTGCCAGCAACCCTAGGGAAATTGGGAATTTTTTCAAGATGGTTTAAAAAAAGCCATAACTGGAGTTATTCTGTATGTTCCTGCCCAGTTTGAAGATGATACCTCTCTTCTCCACATTACATTCAGTTCATGTGTAGGCTATTGAAGGTGGTTATGTTCCATTGCTTTATAGGTGCCCTCAGTCTTACCTTTCTGTGGTACAGACTTGACAGGGTTTATTTTTTCCTGACGAGGATTGGAAAATATGAATTGGAACTGGACCCTATTCACTGTGGGTTTGGTGTCCCTTCTACTTTCTAGCTGTGATCTAGGTTCCTTTTCCTTGGCTGGCAGGAAATTCCTTATTCTTTGTTGGTAGGCAGCAGTTATACTGCAGGACCCCTGTGCCTGCATGGAAGATTCACTCCTCACTTTAATGTGCCATTGATTGGGAAAATTTTTTAATAGTAGAAGTGATATAATAGGAGTACATTCCTATTTTATCTTAAGAAGTGACTTCCTGCCACCTCCATTTTCATGAGTGATTTTGTTTGGACATCTAGCAGGGCACTCTTTTGTACCTATTCCTCGAGTAAATGTTTCCTTGTCTGTAGTCTTGTTTTGGTCATGGCTTGGCAGTTGGTCCCTTTATATCCTGAGGTCCTCCTTACTTAGCAGGCATGCATCTTCTCCTCTAATGCACACCTACATTTGTGAAGTGTTGATCTGTGGTCATGAGGGATTCTCCTGAGAGGTGAATGATCATTGACTTGTTGGAGAAACATTAATGCATCACTTGTCCAGACTCTTGGATGACCAGGAGTGGTGATCCAGGCATGAGTCAGGGGTTCATGTGCTAATGAGTTTGTTGTGGCTCAGTTTCTGGAATATTCAATATGCTTATTGGTATTTGTATCCATCTAAGATTCAGGCATTGGCTTAGGTTTTGGGTGAGTCACACCTCTTACCACTTTTGGGTGCTCCCCTTTAGGCTACATATACAGTATACCAATGGGTTGTACCTGGATAGGGTTCTGAGAGTTCTCCTATTCCCCAAGGCCAGCCTGGGGCTAGGCGTGACTAGTGAGAGCTTGGCCCAACAGGCTGTTGCTTGGAGCGGCCTGCAGATCCACACATCCACTACAGCTTGATTGGTCTAGAACTTCTAGGAGAAAACTATCCAGCGTACGATCGAAATGCGACATTCTTTGTAAGAGGACAGGTTGCTCTAAAAGCTGGGAAATTGCAGGTTGTGTAATTATACTCACATCCCTGTGGCTAATTTATTCTTATTTATGTTCTCAAATGCATATCACATCTCCCGTGTCCTCCATGTCACACAGAAGATCAGTTGTTGATGGAGGTCGTAGGATGAATCTATTACTATCTTTATTGCCAGCAAGCAAGTGAGGAGGCTCCACATTTCTGTACCTTCACATCTACAGTACATTATGTCTGCATCCTTGTATGTTTTATAAGACTGAGAAAGAAAGGAAGTGAGGCATGCAAGGTGGGGGGGGGGCTTATGTGTGTTTAATAACATTTCATAATACTGTTTGCATTGTGAGAAATTCAGGCATAAGAGACTGGGGGCACCGTGATTGGCGGCAGTTGATAAATATCTAGTTTTTATGTTTTACGATAGATTTCTCTTCAATTTGTTGATTGCTGAAAATGATTACATGAAAGCTATTATCTTGCAGAAACAGTATGTGTTCATCCACCGAGCATTAATGGAATATGTTCAGTTTGGAAACACAGAGCTGAGCATTCCTCAGCTTAAGGAAGCTTATAGCAATCATACTCATCATGACAGTTTGGATGACTCCTCCCCATTGGAGAAAGAGTTTGAGGTATGTACATTATTGATTGTTATTGTTTGGGTGTGGGAGGGGGGGAGGGGAGGGGAAGGTTTTACAACATTTGTGGTAATTGCAGGCTGCTAGTGCAAGAGTTGCCTGTCTCCTGTAATATTGTTATTAAATAATATAAATGTCTTATCACAGACATAATAACAGAGGATAAAGAACCTACATGTGTGTATTTTGTATTTTATGGCGAGATTTGAACTACACCTAGTCTTTCACACTATTGAGTGTATTATCAAGATCTGCAACCCGTTCTCGCACTTGCTTACTGTCAATATTGGCTTATTTAATAAGTGCATATGTGACATACTAATTGATTGTGAATATTTTATTTTACCTTGAAAAGCTTCATAGAAAACACCGACCTCACCTAACCTTCTTAGTATGTTAACACTTTCGTCCGGGCATGACGCAGCATTGCGTCATCTGTTTACTGTCGGTAATACCGGGGACGATGCAGCATTGCGTCATCCACTTTAAATAATCGCCAAAAATCAGGTTTTTATCCGATTTTTTGGGGACTGGTTTTAAAATGCGCGCTGATGTCTTCCCATTTTCTTTGTTGAGCCTCATGGCCCTCAGGCGGCTTGGCACACGCCGTGGGCCCATTGTTTTCGCTCCACTGTTGTGACCAATGTCGCCTCCCCTTGCATCTCAAACGTGTGAACATTTCGGCTATTTTCCGTGGCTATATTTCTTACTGCGGCTTTAGAAACTATCTACGCTTACTCCACAATGGATAGTGATCATGAACAAGGCCCTTCCAGGAAGAAAATTGCGAAAGAAAGGCTTGAAAAGGGCGGGAATTGGGAGTGTAGCTGGAAGGCGTCTGAGCGCTCAACTTGCGGCTAACGCGTGGCCCGTCTTCAACTCGTCGGCGGTTGGAGCGTGACCAGGTTTTTTATTTTATATCCTAATGTTCCTCTAGAGAATTCTATTGCGAACCCATTGAGACCAAAATGAAAGACCTAGGACGAAAATTGAGGTGACCAGAGTGAAAATAGTGAAAACATTTTATAGCGTTTGCGCGCTCCTGGGTAACTCGTTCGCACTTTCTCTGTTTGCTGCGGGTAATTAGCCAGGCTTTTGGAGTTTATATGCATTTAGTGCTGTAGAGAATTCTATTGCGAACACAATGATACAAAATTTAATCTCGTAGGACGAGAATTAAGGTGACAAAGTTGAAGAGAGTATACACTTTTCAGAATTTACGCGCGCTCCCGTGACACCCTGGGACCCAAATCGCACAGTTGAGGGGTGGCGCGCGGGGTACGCCAAAGTGTTAAGATAAGCATCTTATTGCTTCTTATTTACAATTATTACTTAACCTATCAACGGTATAGGTTAAGTAATAATTGTAATTAAGAAGCAATAAGATGCTTATCTTAACATACTAAGAAGGTTAGGTGAGGTCGGTGTTTTCTATGAAGCTTTTCAAGGTAAACTAAAATATTCACAATCAATTAGTATATCACATATGCACTTATTAAATAAGCCAATATTGACTATACGCAAGTGCGAGAACGGGTTGAGATCCGAGTACTGTATATGGTTAGAACAAGACCTACATTTTAATGACTGATACCTTTATTAGTAGGTATTAGTCATTGAGATGTAGGTCTTGTCCTAACCATATAGTACTCAGACCCCTGATAATGCACTCAGGATAGTATGAAAGACTAGGTGTAATTAAAGTCTTTACATTAAATACTTAAATACAGTATATAAGTTTAGGTTATATATAAAGCATTGTTATTATTTGTTTGTATTCCTGATATCATGGCTATACTTTTATGTAAATACAGTACTGTAGCTTAATCCCTGCACCACACACATGTATGGCCACCCTGAGTGTTCAGACACTGAGAATGATGGTGATTGTATGGCCACTGGTACTGTGGCCATACCACCATATAATATACATTACCACCGGTTAATGATTGTGATTGTATGGTATGTATGTACGCACACATGTATGGTCACCCTGAGCGTTCAGACACTGGGTAGTGCTAGTGATTCACACACTGGGTAGTGAAAAGCAGGGGTACCATAGGCACAATCAGAGAACACTGTATAAACATCAAAGGCCCACGGTTGTTCAACATCTTCCCAGCGAGCATAAGAAATATTGCCGAAACAACCGTAGACATCTTCAAGAGAAAACTAGATCATTTTCTCCAAGGAGTGCCGGACCAACAGGGTTGTGGCGGATATGTGGGTCTGCGGGCCGCTCCAAGCAACAGCCTGGTGGACCAAACTCTCAAGTCAAGTCTGGTCTTGGGCCAGGCTTGGGGAGTAGAAGAACTCCCGGAACCCCATCAAGCAGGTATGATGTGCCAGACATGGTCCTCACCTTCCTACTAAGGCCCTAGAAGGAAAGTGAGGGGGTCTCATGATTTTGTGTTTTTTCAAGATGGAGGGGGGGAGGGGTAGATATGGTTACTAGAAGCCTGATAAAGTAAATAAGAGCCCCTTGTATGCATGGATGTCTGAAATTTTATGATAGGCCTAAAACAATTGTGGATGTGGTGTGAACCATTAATGAAACAACCCAGATTGTGGTGCGCAGTGCAGTGATTAATCTTACTCTAGCCAACAGAGAATTGTGTGCATATATGAGAAATAGTGCTAATTACCTCAATACGCTCTCTGATTGCATTGGACAAGAGGTATAGAACCTCCATCACTAGTTTTAAATCCTTGTCTTACCTCAATGTACTGTACTCTACATTAAAAGCCCGTGATATTTTGTGTTGTAATGTAGTCTTTTCTTGCAGCGTTTAAGCAAAGTGGTCGAGGACAGAAAAGCCTTCGCCATTGCCACAAGTGAAGAAAATAAGCCTAAGAATCGCTATGATTTTGTTTTACCGTATGACTCCAATCGAGTTATTCTGGCACCACTGTCTACCAGACCATCTTCTACGTACATTAATGCCTCATTTGTCACTGTAAGTATTATGTCGTCACCGAAAGTAGTCAAATATCTCTACCAGTGTATTAAAATATTTGTGTTTCGGTGTTAACTTTACCAATAAATAGCTTGAACGTCAAGAGATGTAATTAGCATGATAGCTAGAAATAACTAGTAGGTGCGATATACAATACTAGAGCTCGCCTCCCTATAATCACTAGCTAAGTGCACCTTACATATATATGTATTGTTTTCTATGTGGTTTTTCTGTTTGTGAAGTTACACAAGGCATCTCTGTGCACGAGGAACATAACAGTTCAGATTCATATAATGTAGCTATGCGTATGTCTTCAGTAGACATTGGAGCTGCTCTTGTGTAAAGTATTGTTCTGTCATTAGCAACATCCAGATGCCCCATATTGAAGCAGTAATCTCATTATGTTGAGGGGTGACATTATTTCATTATTTAATTCTTGCATGTCTTTCATTTTCTTTCTAAATTTTATTTCATTTATCATTTATTTTTGGATATTGCAATTAGAACACAAATCATAATGCATGGAAGATACCTTAGTCAATTTAACTAGCCCCTTTGATGACCTTGACCTTTGACTTTGTTCCCCCGAGAATCACTGGCATATTTTTGAATGGTAATGGTGATGTCAGCTATTAAAGTTCAAAACTTTGACATACTGTAGTTGCTATGGGCAGTTAACTTAATTATTATGTACTTGTATTCACTCAAAGCTCTTATTCTTATGAACTTGTATTCACTCAGAGCTTTTGGTGTTAATGGAAATCCTCAGGGAATCTGCCTCTTTTGACACTGTTCATCTTATGTCATTCTGATCTCATGTTGGCATCTTGAATGATCTTTAAGACCTCTTAAATATTGTGTGCCATAGATGGTAGTATATAGCCATCAGGTTTAGGGCTCGATTTTGACAATTACCACTTCAATAGACAGGGTGTTGGTGAAAAAATAACACTTGCACTTTGGGTTGTACTGCAGTGCATTAAAATAGCAGTGATCCTGTTTAGGGCTAAAATACACGATTGGTAAATATGTGTAAATAATGGAATGGTAAAATACATGAATGGTAAAATATAAATATGTACAGTAGAATAAGTGAAATTGCAGAAAGCCTATTGGCCTATATGAGTCAAATGCTATTTATATCCACCTACAGAAATAATAATAATAATAATAATAATAATAATACTCACTGTATTAATGACAAAAGAGTGAGACCTGTACGAGAGTAACGTTTATTGTCTGGCCATTCGAGCAAGTCTACACGGAGAACATAACATAAACAAAACACACATACGGCTGGCGTGTAATTTAAGCAAAATCCTGAATCGTATTTTTCAATATTCTTTAAGTAAAGTACATTGTTCTGCATTTTGTAGTAATAATTAATTCTTCTTTGATTAATATTTTCACATTTTGATGTTTTTCTTCTCTCTTCAAGCATAGAGATTTCTTTGGAGACTCGTGAGATTATAAAAGACGAGAGAAATGTCTTACGTTTAATGTTTTTTGATTCCAGGGATATGATTTAGCAGAGTCATTTATTGTCACTCAAGATCCCATGGAAAACACCATAGCAGACTTTTGGAGAATGGTGTTCGACCAGGAAGTGACGACCATCGTCATGCTCTCAGAGGTTGGAATTTTTCACATATTTTGAGTATCACAACATTTGTAATAACTGTGCCTCCTGTAGTTGATTTAAACCGAGATAAAATTTGAATATCATATGGCATTAAATATTTTCAAATAATTTGTAACAATTTGTGTTTATTTTTATATAGACACTGCTTCAAATGTATATAAAAGTCTGATCATGACCCTAATGGTTAGATGTTTATTACAGTTTCTCTTAAGCATTTAGCAAATAATTTTTACCTCCTAAGGAAATAGTTTGATGCTAGTTAATACAAATCTTGAGGTGTAATTTCTCAGACATTTTGTGGCTTAGGATTGAAGTTTTTCATGAAGAATTAGACTAATATTAATATAATTTGTGTTTCTTTACTACTCTTGCATATCTATTCCTTTTTGTATAAATGATGTAGCAATTGCTGATACTCCTCATATTATGTATTGTTCTTTAGGTCCATGTAAACCGGTCACTACCTTACTAGTACAGTAATGAAATTCTCAAAAATTGTATTTGTACCTGTCTATCTGTCTGTCTGTCTGTCTGTGTCTCTCCCTTTCTGTCACTTTGTATATCTGTCTTACTATCTATTTATTAATCTGAATTCAATTCTAATTTAAGGTCTACGAATTAATTCTTTAAATTCATATATACAGTGGTACTGTACCTTTGTTTACGATCGTAATCCGTCACCAGACACACGTCGTCAACCAAACATGCATCAACCAAAACAAATTTTCTCATACGAAATAATGTAAACTCATTTAATCCGTTCCATACCCCCAAAAATATTAACTTAAAAATACATTTTATACCGAATAACACTCATTTTGTATTAGCTACAATACAGTACTGTATGTATATCTTACCTTGAATGAGGACTCTTGTTGGCATATGGAAGATGGTGAGGAGGAGGGAAGGAGATGTGCTAGTGTTTGGAAGGGGAATCCCCTTCCATTATAACATCAGGCAGCGATGACTTTTCTGGGGTACTCTCTCTCTCTCTCTCTCTCTCCTATGTATTGCCTGCGTACCGCTAGGACCTGTTTATTTTTCTCACTAAAAACCTATCTAGCAACACTTGTTTTTCCCTATGTTGTAACACTTGTCTGAAGTGAAACATCTCATTGTCATTAAAAAGATTAACACAACAGCCTGCTGCAGCTTGATTTAGGTGAGCCTTTTCAACAAAAGTTTAGGTTGAACGTTGCCATAGACTTTCTTGGGACCCATGGCAGGATATATAATTAGAACTTTTATGTTAAAAATGCAAAAAAGCAGGCAAACAATGAAATTCTTCACAAAGAATTCAAGCGTGACTGCAGTCATCACTAAGCGGGATAGATTTGTAAACAAACTGAGAGTGCCTCACCCCACGCCCCCAGCACCACACGCTCGTTCAACCCATATGTGTACGAACAGACGTTGTCTTCCAAGTGAACCGTCGTACACCAATTCAAATTTTACAATGAATTTGACGTCATCTACCAAAAAAAGCATACTCTAGGGCGGTCATCAACCGAGGTTCCACTGTTTTATATTTCAGTCGAGTCGCTGCTTTTGTGCAGTACAGTATTGTATTTTGGTTGGACTCTTATGTATCGTTGTATTCATGAGGTAGTTGGTTATTGATGTTCTGAAGATTTTTTATTTTTATGTTGAACCTCAACAGTTTAATCCTTAAATTGCGCATCGCATCATATGATGCTTTGACCGACTTGCAGTAAATTGCGCATCGCATCATATGATGCTTTGGAGTACTATGCCAGATTTAAATGGCCCGCAGATACACGGGGTTCACCACACCTTCATCAGGGCTCTTGTAAACAGACACCATTTTAAAAAAAAATCGTGGGCCAAATTCCTGGGTGTTAGGGGCTTCAGTATTGAGTGAGCTACCAAGCCTGACACACGCAGCATGAGCTCACAGCACTGTTGTTCAGCTTGTGACCACAGCATCGCCTAAAAATGCCATAATATACTTGTTTATGCTATTATGTAGCGATGATATTATTGCAGAAGACCCCCTGACTGTGATAAAACTGACCAGGGTTCTGATAATAGCAGGATTGTGGTGATATATATCACTGTGCTCCATGGAGGGAGGAGTAATGCTGTGGGAGGGGAGGGTAGTGGTGTTGTCTTCTGACTGTGTGTGGCCACCTTTTATTGACTGCACTCACCATACCAGCTTAGTGGTTCGCTATGGTGAACATAAATGTAGATACTTATATATAACGTGTGTATAGAGGGCATAAACAGCAAGAAGAGTAGGTTGGGAGCCGCCATTTTGGTGAGGGCGGTGGTGTCGTCTGCACGACTTATCATGTTGTTTACTGGTGACCACGATGTCTTTGGGCACCATACCAGTTTACTTGTACAAGTATGGTGAATAAAACAGGTAGATATTTATATATAATGTGTGTATATAGCGTAATAACACCACACAGTATTGTTGGAGGAGAAATATTAGTGTGTCTGGCCTTGAGGGCGGCAGCCACCAGCTGACTGTGTGAGGTCCTACGTCTTTGTGCCTTTATTCACCATACAAGCTTAGATGTACAGTTATGGTGAACAAAACATGTAAATACTTATATATAACGTCTGTATATAAAAGCAAAAACAGTATGGTGGGAGGAGAATGGTGGCAAGTCAGGTGAGGCGAGGGAGGGAGGGAGTGGCAGCCAGTGGCGGGCTGCCACTGCCACTCAGCACACCAACTTAGTTATTCGTTATGGTGAACACGATTGTAGATACTTATATATAGTGTCTGTATATAGTGAATAAAAGCAAAAACAGTATTGTGGGAGGAGAATGTGGTGAGTCAGGTAACTTGAGGGAAGGAGGAAGTAGCAGCCAGTGGCGGGCTGCCACTGCCACTGCCACTCAGCATGCCAACTTAGTGGTTTGTTATGGTGAACACGAATGTAGATACTTATATATAACGTCTGTATATAGTGAATAAAAGCAAAAACAGTATGGTGGGAGAAGAATGTGGGCGAGTGAGGTGTTGAGGGAGTGAGTGAGTGGCTGGCTGGAATGTGGCGGTCACTCCTTGTTACTTTTTGACTCATAATAGCAACTTAGTGGTTCGTTATGGTGAACAAAACATGCAGATACTTATATATAACCTGTGTATATAGTGTAATAACCGACAAAGTATTTGTTCACTGTTTGATGAATATAATTGAATCAACAATATGCACACCATATTTTTGAGTACAGCGATGATTCACTCATTTTATTATATAAATATATCACACTACACACTATTGAATAATAATATAGCAAAAAACTACGAAAAATCAATTAGAGACATTGAAATAATTAGGTAATTATCTCTTTGTGGCAACTCCGGCCTGACAGCTTGCGAGCAACAGACTGCCTGGGACGCACGCTGAGTCAGCGCCTGTTTTTTACCAGACTTCCCCACCCTATAGCGGGCAATATATGCCACTTACGATTTTTTTATTATTTTTCCCATGATCAGTGAACACAAATTAACAGGTTAGTTGACCAGAACACACACTAGAAGGTGAAGGGACGACGACGTTTCGGTCCGTCCTGGACCATTCTCAAGTCGATTTGAGAATGGTCTAGGACGGACCGAAATGTCGTCGTCCCTTCACCTTCTAGTGTGTGTTCTGGTCAACATACTTTAGCCACGTTATTGTGACTCATCGCCTGCGTAACAGGTTAGGAAGAAAAAAGATTTTTTTTTTTATGCGCCTGTGGGTGTCAAATGGTATATACCCATGCGCCATTTAAGGGTTAATATGTAATTACGTTTGTTCTGAATATATCAATATATCACGTCTCCTGCTTGGCAGTGTTGTGTTTTTGCTTGAATGTTCACTATTTTGCAAAAGAATACCTTCTACTTACCATCCACATTACTTGAATATTTCTTAAGTTGGCAATTTCCTTAATGAGCTCATCATTACGAAGACGGTCAACATTGACTCCACGTTAGCACAGTAGCATGGAGGAGTGTTTAAACACCCCAAACCCCAAAGAAAATCAAAATGTTATTCCCCTTCAGCAACATGAATCATGATGAGACATGAATGCATAACATCACAAGATAGTGGAATATCAATATGAAACTTTGTTAAATTACATAAAGGACTATAAAGGATTTTTAGTGTGACCAGAAACAGATTTGAAAATTTTAAGTGTTTTATAATATAAACAAAGAATGAGGGGAAAATAGTTGGTAATTTTCTTAACCACTGTGCTGCTCGTCTTCCAACAAATACGCCCCCCCTCCCCCCGTGTGCAGGAAATCAATTCTCTGGAAAAAATTCTTTTTGTTTTTGAAAATGTTAAATACCCTTCCCTGATCACAGATATGCAAAAAAAAAAAAAAAAAAGAAAATCGAAATTGTACTGTACTTACTTTGGTCGCAATGGGGTTCGGAAAATGGTGTGTGACGTCACGATTTGGTGGTCTCCCGTGACGTAGACTCCCGGAGCCAGTTGTCCGCCAGCTTCAACAAGCGCGAGTTGCCACAAATATTTTTTTTGTTAATTTATTGAGTACATTTCCAAATACATTTGTTTTGTTTTTTCTTGCCATTCCTATGTATAATGAACACGTACACAATATCATGGCAGTAGAACATCTGTACTGTCCCAAGACACTGTGTTATGTGTGTCTCAAATGTGTCCACATGTATTGCTCATATATCCAATGTTTCATGTTCATTTATGTATATTTACAACATATTTACACACTATACACTATCACACACTATATACATTCACCATCAACTCACTCAGAACTCCACGAGTGTGAACTGCCACATCCAGCCAGCTCTCCCTCACTCCTCCAACACCTAGCTTACCCCTTGCACCTTACTTGCCAACATTGTTCCTCCCTCCATACTGTTGTTATTTTTATTACACTATTTACACACGTTATGTATACTTATCTACACGTTTTATTCACCATAACTATTCAAGTAAGCTGGTATTGTGTCCAAACAGTACAATTTCTCATA